GGAGAAAAAAAAGATTTCCTGGAGATTTCCTCCTCGACTTCCGAGGACAGTCAAGCAAGCTCTGGGAGAGGACCATTGACCCGAGTGTAGAATATACGGCAGATCATGCTCCCAGGCTGCAGCTGCTGGTCCTCACTTCCTTGCCTATTTTTCTTGAACGAGTGGCACTGTTTGCACAAACAGTATCACATGGGAGCCTGTCCCAAACATTACCGAAGAGTCTATAATTAGTAGCACAGCGCTGTAGTAAATAATTCTCAGCCAAACTTCCTTGTGAAATAAAACTCATTTGGTAAATGTTATACATTAATCTGACAAAAGGTGTGGTAAGGAAATGGGTCATTTTTGTTTAGTGCCACTGTGCAGTGATGTGGTTGGTAGGTAATGAGGCATGATAGTGGTACATTATTAACTGGACTGAGTTGACCTATTAGTATTATCTAAATGATGTATTTCATGATGGTTTTGTTGTGTTGGAAGCCCATCTGCTCCCACTGATGTAAGCTGCACCAAACAGTCCCAGTTTTTACTGTTTTGTTTTTCCACATGAGATAGTAAGATATTTATAACAACTTGTCTTCAACTCGAACATTTATCTATTTTAAGACTGAATGTACCTTTTTAGAAAACCTAACTTGAAATTGAACATGAGCTTTTCGTCAAAATTATTGTGTGTGAATAGTGTTATACAACCTTCCTACCTCTGTGAACTGCTAACCCCATATCAACCTCTCCTCTCAGCAGGCTCTGGCCTGCTCCAGGCTCCCCCCAGCCCACCCTACCATCAGCGGCCAGTCCTTCAGCCTCTCTGCCCTCACCCATCCCACATTCCCTTCGTCTTGCTCCCTTCCTTGCCTCCTTCAAGGCACATCTCAAGATCCTCCTCTTCGACCGTGCCTTCAGCCACATTCCTACCCCTCCCTGTCCTGCACCCTCCCTCATCCCAAACCTGCCCCCATCGTTTCGGCCCAAATCCCTGACTGTTCAGCGCTTTGGGAGGTCTTCCCGATGTGAAAGGCGCCATACAAATGTAATTTTGTATTGTATTGTGTGCTGCCACTGAAACATAGGCTGATTCAAGCGCAAGGTAAATCTGCAATCTTATTTTTNACAGGATATTTTTACGTCTTTTTCAATCTTCCTGATTCATGTGCTTACTTCAGCCTTATAGGACAGGTTATTTGCATTTTCAGCTCTTGAGCCAGTTGCTAGAAATTGTACAAAAGGGTTCCAGCCAAGAGTTTGTTGTTACTGTCTTGATATTTTTTTCCCTGTGTGTAAGCACTTGACCTTCACCTCAGAACAGCAAAACAGCTGAGGGCAACAACTCAGCAAAGTAACAGCCCACGGAGGTGAACCCATGTCTAACCGCGACATTACTTCAATTTGGAGCTCAGTCGCACTATACCAGCCTGAAAGCGTTGCAAATTAGAACCAGTACATTTGGATCCTACGACCAGAGTTGCTTCAGAATGCACAAAATGCTAGTTTACATTATAAAGTTGCTTACTGAAGTATACCAACAATTACAGTTTAGCCCCTTGTTTGTAGAGTATTCTCTTTCTGCATGGTTTTAGTGTCTGTGGTTAGACACTGGATTCCGATGAAACTATCTTTGTGCGAGTATTGACTTATAAGTCACGAGACTGGTGAAGCATGTTCCGCATTCTGATTGGATATCTCTGCTAGAGAAGAGCAATTGCTAAGGGTTATTTTCATATAAGGGTTGTATGATTTGAATTTGAAAGCTGTGCTTTGTGGGATTTTGCTTTCACAACCGTGCTGAATGATTCTGTATTGAGAATATGCTGCTAACCTCCCAGCCACTGCACTTCGTAATCGTAAAGGACTCTTCCCATTGAAAAGATATCATGAAAAGATCCCTGAATTTAGTGATCAATGTCTGATTGACACCCATTATATAAACATTTGATGGGGGTGATGGGGAAGGTTTGGAAAATGTTACTGGAGCCCACAAACCAGTTATTAATCTACGTGTAGCATTTTTCAGTATTCTTAACACAATTGCTGTTTTGAATAAAAGATTTCAAGGAAACCTACCACTTACAGTACTGTAATTACAGCTTTCTTTTGTTCTTTGTCCACAAATGAGTCAGAGTGTACCAGTCACACAGCAATGGCTGGATATGTGTAGCCGTGCAGTGGAGTGTACATGCCCGCCAGATGTGGTGTATGATGTTTGGGCCACTCATGGACCCGACCACAGAACCAATAAGCGACGAAAAGGCTCGAGCTGGTTAGGCTGGCTGGAGTCACAAATGTTCTAAAAATGACATGCTGCAGACAGCTGGAGCTGCTCGCGAGAGTCAGAGACCGCTCTGACTGAACCACACGATTGCTGAGGCCAGGGGAATTGACGAAGCTGAGCAGGCTTTTTCCCGGAAGACTTTGGGGTCGGCGAAAGAGTTGCTGTCTGTGCGTCAGCTCTGGGATGCTACCCTGCGTGATGGGCGCTATGTAAATGCAAGTTGTTGTTGTCAGGAGCCGCTGACTGAACCGGTCGCCTTCTGGTGGAAACGGATTAACAGTATTAGAGGGTGTGGGGATGGGGATAGTTGCAGATTGAAATAATCAGATGCAGGCAACAGGGATTTCTGATGGAAGTGGGTGCTATTTTGTTTGTGGGAATGAATATTCTGGAGTATTTGCTCGAGACCCCTTGGTGCATGGGGAGGAGTATCTACAGGATTTTCCTCTGGAGACAGAGTGGGTGGGATGAAGTCCATAGTGGAAAAGGCTATGGAGAATAGGTCATGCTGAAATGAATGACCTTTGCTCGATGCCTTTGGTTTATGTTTCTCCATTGATATTATTATGGACAACAAACAAATAGAAACTCAGAATCCACAACTTACTGTGGCTCCTGAGAAGCCCAAACCTGAAACCAACTAATCTGCTGCCTTCTCTTCCCATTTTGCTCTATCCTTATAATACTTTCCGCTTCCATTTCCAGTCACCTCGCCCTCAAAGTTGTGTTTCTGTGAGTTGCAAACTGAATACTGTTCCTGTTGTATAGTGTTCACTGTTCCTTCGTTTGATATTTGCTCACATGGTGATTCTGATGAGCACGATTGGATTTCTCAATACTGCAACAGAATCAGCAAAGGCATGGCTTATGCTATCTGTCAAACCTAGTAACATGATTTCAATTAACTTCATCTGTTTAATTAACCATCAGTTGTTACCACCCAGTACTGGTTTTAGGATGTGGAATGATGAAACATGATTAGGGACCAAAGGGAAAGAATAAAAAAAACATTTTATATGTTTATACATTGGTAGGATGGTACGTGCATTTGACTTTCGGCACAGTGATTTTCCATTTTCAGCTGGGGGAGGGAGAGAGAGATAGCAGATGAAACACCTCACGATTCAAATACCTCCCAGTGGTTTGTTAAACAATTATATTGAGAGAGACTTGGAAATGCATCACTTGCATTGCCTATTGGCGGAAGAATGGGATTGAATTTTAAAGGGAAGCATAAAAATGCTTTCAAAATCTAGAATACTGGCGAATGCATCGACTTCAAGACCCTCACACTTGTGTTCAAATCCCTTCACTCTCTGGCACCGCCCTACCTCTCCGACCTCCTCACTCCCCAATCCACCACCCGGCGCCTCAGCTCAACTGGCCTCCTGCTCGTCCCTCGCACCCTCCTTCCTGCCATCGGAGGTTGCGCTTTCAGCCACTACGCCCTGAAACTCTGGAACAATCTCCATTAATCCTTCCGCCTTGCACCCTCTCTCCCCTTTTTCAAATCCCTCCTGAAACCTTTCCTCTTCGATCGTGCTTACGGCCACCTCCCCCACCACCCCACCCTGGCTCGGAGTCAGGCTGTGAGACGCAACCCTGCGTGGAGGGCGCTATATAAATGCAAGTTGTTGTTGAACAATGTGTGGAAATAAAGGATATTCTGTGGTTATTTCAAAAAGGAGTTTTCCTTCAACTTATGTATTACTCAATAAATGTATAAAGTTTGAACTATAAGTGGGTTTAAAGTTAACAGTCAGATGTGATTATCCTCCCACAATCTGGTGCAGTCTTTGAGCTGTGCTTTATTTAGAGATTTGTGCTGCGTTTAACTGATCACTTTTAAGATATTTCTTACAATATCCATTTACGACAGAAGTGCAGCAGTAAAAATCTGGGATATTGGTCAAAAGCAACTGTAAACCTTGCGTGGGTTGTAAACACAATTACGTTTGTGAACAGTACAAAGGATCAACATGGTTTTAATATTAGTCCAGGAAAAATAAATCAGCGGTGCATTAGGTTCAAATTGAAAGTTTTATTGGGGACATAAGTGGTGAAGCAAAACTTGCTTTAGAACATCCACTTTGAGTTTATTTGTTACTGTTGCATTTTATCTAGCGAAGGCATGGCTGATGCCAAAATTACACCTGGTGAAGGGACTTTTTCAGTCCTGACAGTTAATGTCTTTGCCTAGTATTTTATGTGAATAATAAATAATAATACTTGCATTTCATATAGCACTTTAGCACATCTTCGAGACGGCTCAAAGCGCTTCACAGAATACACTGTAAAGTAAATTGACTATGTTTTGTGGGCAAAATGTGGCACCCAATTGTTAATTAATAAAAGTTAATTCCAATAAAAACCTATATGCAGTCTTACTAACAGATCAACTTGTAACTAGTTGCATCTTCAATAAGGGTATTGTATTAGTGTGACTTACGGTACATATTATCAAAGCTAGTTAATCCTCGAGTAAAAAGATAAAAAATAATAATGGCTTGGTCACTCAGTTCACAACTGTTTGTGGGACACTGCTGTGAGCAATTGGTTACCGTGTTTTGCCCACAAAATATACAGTCAATTCACTTTACAGTATACTCTGAAGTGCTTTGAGATGTCTCAAAGACATGATAAGATGCTATCTCAAATGCAACGATTATTACTATTATTGTCATCCACATCTTTCTTAATGCTGATGTGTTCTTTTCCTTCATCCCCACAGGTTGGGAGTCTCAGCTGCTGGAAACTGGGTTCCTTGCTATCTTCCTGTGTCCAGTTCTCACCCTTCGTGCCATCCCACGCCATACTCCACCATCCAAGATTGTCATCTGGGCTTTCCGATGGCTTATTTTCCGCATAATGCTTGGAGCGGTAAGAGCATTTAATCATTTGTAGCATTTGGATAGTGCTGTAATCTTCAGTTCTACGGAATTAATTAGGAGTATACAACGTATTTAGAGACATACAATTTAAAGGAGGAAACAAAAGTGCTGTAAACAAGTTGCCCATCTTCAGAGGAAAAATAAGATGCTACATCTTGCTGTGAGTGTATTTCTCTGTCATCAAAGTGAAGATAAAGTGCAAAGATTTGACTGAGTTACGTTTACACCTCAGTAAAGCATCTATCACATTCAGTGATCAATGCTGAAATCCTTGTTAAATGCAACGTTTATGATTGCATTCTTTCATTTTTCACCTCGTCTTTTACCATCTTTGTCATTTGGGAGAGCAATAAGAACAGTCAGAGGTCCTCAGTGTGCTGTGACTGAGTGTACTACTATCAAATGAGTTATTTTTGTTGCCTTCTACACTATCGATCTCCTCTACCAACTCTCCTCTCAGCTCAGTCTTCACAGTCTATCCTCCCTGCTCTCCACGCCTCCTGATCCCAACCCCCATCTCGGGTCAAAAGCAAGCAAGGGAGATGGTATGTTGCTTAATGGGGAATAAGGCAAGATGAATCCAGTTAATAACAAATGGTATCACGTTCAGCCATTTTCTCAGGGGCTCTTTGCAATGGAAATGATTATTTATGGCCTGTCTTGGTATCAAACAGAAAGGTTTGTGCAGCAGGGTGAAGCTTTACAGATCGACCGAGAAACAAATCAATCCAAGGAGTGTTATTTTCCCAAAATGTGATTTATGATGGTATAGATATAGTGAAATTACAGATGGATTGCTTCATTGGAAGCCAGACCCCACCCCCCCCCCCAACTTGGGAAGGAGTTTGGAATTCGAATTGAGAGCCACCTTATCAACTAAACTATCCACAAAAGAATAGTTCATCTTTTATAATATTAATATTAAGAATAGTCTCCAAGACGTGATAAGCCGCTATATCAAATGTAAGGATTACCATTATTATATTACTATATTAATTAGGGAAACAAGAGTTGCTAACATACCAATTGACAGTTACTTCAACTGGAAAAGATGTTTGGTGAGAATTTTTAAAAAAAATGATAACTCATTCGTAATTCCAGAAATGGGCAGGTCTGTTTCAAAGTAAATTTAACGTTGGAGCAGCTAAGCAAAATGACACCAATGTTGGACAAAAGGGACAATCCTCGAGTGAATATCTATAGCTACAATTTCAAGCCTAAATTGAAATGGTCAACATATGGTTTCTGAATGAACATAGGATCAGAGCAGAATCTTACAGAGGTTGTAAGTAATATTTCAGAGGAAAAGTGAGTCAGATCCAAGGATCAAGAGAAATGTCACGAGGTATATCTCTTTTATTAGTATGATATGTCTTCTTAGTTGATGATGGCATGAAGAGACATCGGTAGAGAAATCTGTAGCAAAGAAACTGTCCATTTCAATAACAAAGTCATAATCTAATAATATAACAAGCTCCAGAGAGAGAAAGCCTCTGTTATTTTTACCTCCACCTGAGTTAAAACTTTGGTCAGGGAGAGGTATGTGGAGGAGACATCAATTGAAGAAGTAAGCAGGATTACTTACCATAATAGTCTTTGTTCTTTGAACAGTGATGCCAAGACACCCCATCCATCATGGACCTTTGGGAATGCCAGTGCAGTTAGACAAAGACGCCAAAATGAAAAAGCATTGAAAATAAATTATCTTAAAGTGAGCAGGAAGCAGAGGGTTATACGTGATGAGTGCACACCTCCGTGGACTAACTGTATGAAATTAATGGGGATAAACTAAAGCTTCTTCCAATTGTCTGAGAAAACCTGTTCACTTACTATTTGAAAGATCAAAGTTCAAAGAACGAATAGCGTAGAAGCCAGTAATCTCGAGTCACGTTTACTCAACAGCTGCTAATTCACAACAAATGTTCAATTGCAGCTGATTTGCAGTAAATGATCAAGTCTAAGTAATGTTGAGTTATTTGCTTTTGATCAGAGCTCGAGTAAAACCTTTCACTTCTTGTCATTGGAATCGATCTCAACTGTAAAGTGGGACAATCACAGTTTGCAGCTACAAGCATCTGATGTAAATCTCCTTTAACTTAATGCAGGAAGAAAAACTCAGTGGATGCATTAAGCTCCTAATTTAATACAGACCTAGTGCATAAATCTGAGTGGCTGTAAAGTGTAAACCTCAGGAGACTGCATGCAGTTTGGATTATCCTGATCTGAACTGCATGTGATCTCCATACTGCCAGAGTGTAAGTGTACCTATTTGTGCGCTGTATTAGTGGAGCCATAGCTACAATGAGGCTGATGTCTCAAGAAACTTATGGCTTTTTGGCAACCTTTTCTCCAGTGATTGACAAGTTCTGGTCCTATGCAGAAAGATGGGCTGCTTTACCTAATTCTCATTGGTTGGAGGCGCAGTGCTACAGATTAGATGTTAAACTGTGATCCCTTTGGCCTGTTCAAGTGGACGTTAAAGATCCCATGCTATTCGAAAAGACAAAGGAGTTTTTCCTGGTGGCCTGGCCAACAGCCCCTCAGATAAAATTGGTCATTCACTTATTTGTGAGACATTGCTGTGCGCAAGTTGGTAGGTGCGTTTGCATATAAGGTACTCAACGTCTTTTTTTCAATAAATCCTTTGAGATGTCCTTCTGACGTGAAAAGTACCGCACCAAAATAAATGACTTATTATTTATATTTGACTCAATAAAATATTTGACTCTGGCTGTGATACAATGTTGAAAGTAGCTAATGCTGATCAACATTAGGTGTCTGCAAAGTAGAATTCTTTCAGCATTGTAATCTATTCTACACATCTATTCTTCATGACTCTGGGATTGGGCATCAGTTTGTTTCTGAATCATGTGGTCAAACATGACCAAGACTAAAATCCTTCCCCTTCATTGATTAAACCAATGTTTGAACCGGTTGTGTCAGCGACTAACTTACTGACGGATACTGTTTTTCCTCATAAAATTAAAGTGCTTTCATATGTTTATCATATGCATTTTTATGGACTGTGTAACTTGTATTTCAGCACAGTGAGTGAAGTACTGGATTCTGTGAAGTTTTTGTTATTACCTTCAGTTAAAGTAAATTGTGCATTTAGTCTGTGACTTCCAAAGCGAAAAAGTTCTCTACTTGCCAATACTGAAGGTCTCACTTAAATTTGTAGCTTAGACATGATCAACTCATCAACAATTTCCTTACTCATGGTTTAAAATATGCAGGAAGGAGACAACAGTTTGCCTTAAGTATAGTTAATTTGATCAGAGCAAACACCACAAGCTCTAACATCTGCATTGACTCTTGCACTAGCAAATTAGTAGTTTGACTAACAATAAAAAAACATTCTTCAGCAAAACAGAGATCTAGCAAAATATATAGCCTTGTTCTTAAGTGTGCATATTCCCAATGAATAAATTGCAAAGTAAGCAGACTTAAATCCTGCTCTCAAATTCTGTGATATTTATATTTGCGTTTTGCCCACAAAGCATACAGTCAATTCACTTTACAGAATATCCTGTGAAGCGCTTTGAGACGTCTCGAAGACGTGATAAGGCTCTATATCAAATGCTAGGATTATTATATTGTCCTCCAAAATTAGTAGTCAAAAGGTTACTTGTTATGGGTAGGACTTGTTAATGTGACTTGGATTCAGCTTTGCTCTCAATAACCTGCTGGACATAATCCACATGACTGTTCAAGGCATACTGAAGAGGATTAGAGGCTGGGAGTAAAGTTCAAGCGATGACTCTGTGCAAGCTCTTGAGATGCCTTGAGAAATGCCACTTACTTGAAAGAACTTTCTTGCAAAATTGTTTTTGCATATGGCCCTAGTTGCTACATTCCAATCCTTTCTAACCCACATAAGCCAAGAGCATTCTGACTCGCAGGGACGAGTGGTTATTTTCTGTCGCCAGCGGCCAAGACTACCAGTAATGTACAAATATCTTAAATCAGTTTAAGATGTCGAAATGAAGTGTCATCCATCTGTTTAATGAGACCTGGGACATTAACGTCAGTGGGGGTGACCAATATAGTAAAATCTGAAACAGAGCAGATGGCTGTCATTTTGAAAGCTGATTTCGAGAACACAGCCAGGCTGCAATAGTTTACATTCGAGGACTGAATTAGAAATTGTATAATTCAACTAAATGCATACGATTTAAAAAAAAACATAATGATTTCCTACCTACACCCATTGTAATTTGCCCTAATAACCGTATACTATACGCCTATAGCTCCCCTTTTAAACCCCTTTAACACCGTCCCTCTTAAATTCTGCGATTCATCAGCAGTAATTACGGATTAAACTGAGAAATTGCTGAGCACTGACACTGTAGAAAGTGACTGTGTTATATAAACTGCTCTGGGCAAGGGGGACCCTGATTTTCACTTAAGAATAACATGCTCTTTAAGTTTTAAGAGCAGGTTATTTTGAGTGCTTAGTTTAAAACCTGCTTGGAGGATCTTTGGAAGGAAGAGTTCAGTGTTGTGAAGGAATGGAATGATAGGGTTTTGTTCAAACAGAAAATATGTATTCAGGGTTTGTGCTACCTCAGAGAGGAAAAAACAACATAATAACATACAGTATTGCAAAATAAAGCAACTGGTAAAATAAATCTCTTTAGGTCCTCTCGGGAGAAGAGTAATTTCAACTATGATTACAATGGTTCTGCTGATTTATTTCCTTTTTCTGCAAATATCTATGAATCTACGCTTCAGACTTCTTACCCCTCGTTGCGACAGAATCTCAGCGAGATTACATATACAGTATCTCCCACATAATGGAACCAAGTTTCCAGTTTTACTGTGTAGTCGTTTCGTCTCATCAGTTGTTTTCCCCCAGATTTCCCCTGAAAGGCATTTGACTCCTTTTACTCCATGCGAGCGTAAATTTGCATGACCTGCACTATCTCAGGCCAAGTCGTCATCTTTGACACCGGCAAGCTAGTCGACTGCTTGAGACATCTCAGCTGA